CACTGGTCCAGCCCGTGTTTTATCTAGTTCAATCCCTGATATTTCTTTTAATTTTGATTCTCATTGTGATGTCTGTCCAGTAGCCAAACAAACAAGGTTACCTTTTCCCTTAAGTTCTACTTCTAGTCTACAACCTTTCGAGTTAAATACATTGTGATATTTGGGGTCCGCATCGTTTGCCCTCTTCATCAGGTGCTAGATACTTCTTAACTATTGTTGACGATTACTCCCGATTTACTTGGCTTTTTCTCATGAATTTAAAATCTGAAACACAAGAGAAAATCAAACTGTTTTTTGCTTATGTCAACACTCAATTTCAGCGTCAAGTTAAACAAGTACGCACTGATAATGGCGCAGAATTCCTATCCCTGCGTTCATTCTTTGCCAACTCAGGAACTGTTTTCCAACATACTTGTCCACACACACCGCAACAAAAATGGGGTGGTGGAGTGTAAACACATCGGCACCTCCTTAATGTAGGTCGTGCACTTCGTTTTCAAGCAAATCTTCCCCTCAAATTTTGGGGAGAAAGTCTTCTCACTGCCACTTATCTCATCAATCGCACACCCACCATCGTTTTATCAAAAAAAAAACACCCTATGAAATGCTCAACACACGCCCATCCACTTATATGCACTTACGGGTTTTTTGGGTGTCTTTGCTATGCTACACACACCTCCCCTAAGCACAAGTTTGATGATGTCAGGGTTCACAAATGTCTCTTTGTTGGTTATCCTTCTGGACAAAAGGGGTATCGTCTCTACAATCTTCACACTCATCAATTTTTTACTAGTCGTGATGTGGTTTTTCATGAACACATCTTTCCTTTTGCTCATCATCCTCCCGACACCCAACCTGATGAAGTTGTGCCCGTCGTCCCTCTTCCTCTCACCGACACCATCTCAGATTCTTCCATTTTTTCACAAGAATCCTCCTCTTCCACCATCTCTGGTCCAACCGCTTTTTCTCCTTCACCTGTGTCGCCACAATCACCTGTGTCGCCCCCATCCCCTCTTCCTTCTCCACGTCCAGTCAACTCTATCTCACCACCACCTGCCCTTGGTCGCGGCGGCTCCGCCCCAAGCAACCTTCTGTCTTATATTGAAGGATTATGACTGTTCACAGGTCACCACGTCGCCTTCCAAGTCCACGTCATCTTCGTCGTCATCTCATCACTCACTATCCAGGTACTCACTATCCACTCTCTCATTATCTCTCTTCTTCTCATTTATCACCATCTCACCAAGTGTTTATCAATACCATCACTCGTAGCGTCGAACCTACTTTTTTTGCCAGGCCATTGATCCTCATTGGCCCACCTTGTCTGATCCTCTTGATTGCATTGCAAGCTGCCATGCAGTCTGAACTTGCTGCACTTGAACAAAAAACCATACCTGGACACTCACTTCCTGCCTCCTGGAAAACAAACGTGCTATCGGCAGCAAGTGGGTTTACAAGATCAAACATCGCTCTGATGGCTCCATAGAGCGCTATAAAGCGCGTTTGGTTGCCAAAGGTTACTCGCAAATTGAAGGCCTCGACTATTCTAACACATTTGCACCGGTGGCCAAACTTACCACTGTTCGTTGTTTATTAGCCGTGGCAGCTCAACGCCACTGGCCCCTCCACCAGCTCGATGTCCAGAATGCTTTTCTCCATGGTGATTTGGACGAAGAAGTTTTCATGTCTCCACCACCTGGACTTCGTCGACAGGGGGAGAACTTGGTTTGTCGACTCCATAAATCCCTCTATGGCTTGAAGCAGGCTTCCCGCCAATGGTTTTCAAAATTTTCTCAAGCCATTCAACTCGTGGGGTTCAAACAATCAACTGCAGACTACTCATTGTTCACCTGCACTACTGCGCATTCCATTACAGTGGTTCTCATCTATGTTTGATGACATGATCATTATTACAGGGAACAATCATGAGGCTATTCAACGTTTAAAACAATCCCTTCATCATCAGTTTCGCATTAAGGACCTCGGACCTCTCGGACCTCTCAAATATTTTCTTGGGATCGAAGTGGCTCGTTCACAACAAGGCATTTCTATCTCACAAAGGAAATATATTTTGGACATACTGGATGATGCTGGACTATTAGGGGCATGTCCGGTGGATTTTCCCATGGAACAAGATTTGAAGTTGAGGCCAACGGATGGTGAGTTATTGAAGGATCCAACCAGATATAGAAGGATCGTGGGACGACTCATTTACCTCACCATAACAAGGCCAGATATCACATTTTCAGTCAACAACCTTAGCCAGTTCATGAACCAACCACGCAAGCCTCATCTTGAAGCTGCTATACGAGTCTTGAAATACCTCAAAGGGACTCCAGGACAAGGTCTATTCTTTCCATCTACAGATGCATTACAATTGAGTGGTTACTGTGATTCTTCATGGGCATCATGTCTAACGACTAGAAGGTCCGTGACAGGTTATTGTGTGTTTTTGGGAAAATCACTCATCTCCTGGAAGACTAAAAAACAACATACGGTTTCACGATCATCTGCAGAGGCAGAATATAGATCAATGGCTGCAATCACTTGTGAACTTACATGGCTTCGTTATCTGTTACAAGATTTACAGGTCTCTCATGCAGCTCCAGCTCATGTTTACTGTGACAATAAGGCAGCTTTACACATTGCAGCTAATCCAGTATTCCACGAGCGAACTAAACATATCGAATTAGATTGTCACTTGGTCCGAGAAAAGTTACATTCAGGAATGATTGCAACAAGGTTCACACCTTCAAAGCATCAGTTGGCCGACATATTTACAAAAGCGTTAGGAAAGGCAACGTTTCATTCTCTTCTCAGCAAGTTGGGCATCCAAAACATTCATGCTCCAACTTGAGGGGGAGTGTTAAAGGAGCAGAAATCACTCAATCTGTACAAGGTGGATAGCAGGAATGTAGCATGTGGATGCACATTCCTGGACAGTTTGGACAGCAGCATGAGGATACCATAATCCTTGTCAAAAAGGGTTTGCACATGGTGGATGCACAACATGGACGTGTCAGTTACATCATGGGCAGCAAGGATGCCCATTCCCTTTTACATTTAATTATTGCATGCGTGATTGCATTGTATGTATATATATATGTTAGCTGTTTTAGTTTAAGCAAGATTGAATAATAAGAGCATTCTTTAAATTCCAACTTCATAGATTTTGAAATGCTGCACCAAAGTTCGAATCGAATACAACAATAAAACTTAGGTCTATTCCTGCAGATCCTGAAAAGCGATAACCATGTAATATAAAAAAAAACAGATATTCGAACTGAATATGTGACAATCACAGCAGCCTTCCTTTTTTTTTTTTTTTTCTTCAGAAATTCAAATATTTCGATTGTTTACAAGAAAATCTAAATCTTTTGGTATTAAATTAACAAATTAACGATCAAGCTTTCCAATCATTGATGCAAATTATATAAATCCCAAATTACTGAATTCAAACTTGAGTATTAGAGAGAGAGAGAGAGGGTACTTTGAGGTAGGCTCTGATTATGCGCCTGAGGGGCTTGATTTCGAGAGCTTCTTCGAGATTACTCTGGCGACGTCGTTCGTCGAGTTGGTCCTCTCAACTCCTCCTCCTGCTTCTACTGCATGCATATCTCTGCTGTAGTCGGCTCTCACTGACAGAATACTGACAGGAACACACTAATGAGAGTGCTTCGACTCCTCGCGTCGTCAAACAGGATGAGTCACACACACATGATTGAAGGCCGAGCCCAATATGAAACACAAACTTAGATTGATCAACCCACTAGTTCCTGAGACATTTGGGGTCTGATTAAAGAGTTGGATATTTACATGTTTGGGCTCTGGACAAATTGTTTTTTTTTTTTTTTTTTTTACACCTAATTATATGGATATTTTTTTGGAAGTTTTAACGAAAAACCCACGATACTGTTCACTTTAACGAAAAACCACATTTTTACACTAAAAAGTCAAACATGTTACTATTCACTTTACTATTTATTTTGTCCTTATCATTAAAACTCAAAGTTTTCAAACTCTTTTAATTAATTTTCCTTATTTTTTTTGGATGCACTTTTCAATTTTGGGCCTGAGCTGTTGCCCTGGTAGCATTGGACCTGGACCGGACCTGATTACTTAGACGATATTGTACGCACACTTGCAATTATCACAATAATGTGCCCATTATTTTTCAAAACAAGTATTAAAATATTATTGGATAAAATAAAAAAGGTGAATACTCACATGTGAGCACCAAAGCATTGTCCTTTATTTATAGTCTAAACACATAGACGGTATCAACTACATGTTATTTAGTGATGATCCGACTTTGATAAACAAAACGGTGATGATCCATAATCCAGTGTTTGTACGTCTAATTGTTATGATCCATATCTCTACAAAAATTTTAATTGCGTATTTATCACGTTTCTTATTAACAAGTGATCAGGCTAACTCCAATGATAAAGAAGTCGAACGCTTTTTCAGCAGACTCTTTAACAAGAGAGATTCTTATTTTTCAAAAAATAAGAAAAAAATAAGGATACCATTTTGAAAAATGAGGATCTCTCTTGTTAAAGGATTCCCTCTTTTAGATTATCTCTCACAATTGGCAGACCCAAAACGTAAAGCAATTTTTTTTTATAAATTTATTATTATTAAGAGAATGTGATAGAAATCGAAACTATTATAATAATTTAGGAGATGAGAAGTTTCAAACTTGAGATGTATGAGTAGAAACTCAACATCATATCCACTAAGATATTGGACCACATGCAACAGAAATGAGAGTGCATCAGCATGATCCCCTCATCATCAAAGAATATTACTAGTATTGGCTTTTTCATCCTTAACATGACAACCAGTCCAATTTTATATTCCATTAATATGACTATATCAAATAAGGCACCTCATACATGAAACAACCACAAGGGGAGTTATCTACAGGTATTATGAAAATATATATACTTTGACATTAAAAGGGGAAAAAAGGCTATAAAAAGGGCTGCAACCTCTTTCATTTCATTCATTCAAACTTTCTCATTTATTGCAGAAAGGAAGAAAGGCTCTATTACAAGTTTAAAATGGTTGAATTGTTTTCCTTGTTTAACAATTCAAGTCATCAAGCTACAATTGATACAAAAGAAAAAAATTTGGGAGCTGTTGTTAGTGGCCAAGGTGTTAGTATCCGCAGTCCTATTTTTATTAACAAAGATAGGACGAGTGGTCTTACATTGCACTGTACGTTCCAGGGTGCAGCTAGAGAGATTATTATGTGGGATTGGGATTGGAATTTAAATTTCGTAGATAAAGCTTCAGGTCGGAAGTATCAATTCAAGATAAAACATACCGATGGTGTTATTAGATTGTATCTATCAGACACTGGTATTGCAGTGTTGGCTGATGATGAGGAGGAGAGCATAGGAATGTATCCAACAGAAAAACACTATCCATTTTATAAGATGTCTTTCGATCAGGACGGTCAATGGGTAGTTATTCCGTCACCATGAAGAAAAAGATAATAGTAGGTATGTTTTGATTCATATAATAATGTAATATTGTTTTTAGTTTGAATAAATGTAAAGGATCCGTAACAGAAAATCGCCGAGTTCTTCCTCCGTTTGAGGGTGCTTCTCACCTTCTTGTGTGAGTGATCCTGATCGTGTTTCCGTTTGCTGCCGTCGATCCTAGCTGCGGCTGGATCGGTGGGTGGCTTTTTGTTTTTGTTTTTTCTTTCTTCTCCCCTTCCATCTGCTGATGTTTCTTCCAATTTTCCTCTCTGGCCTCCCCAATTCTTCAACCCCTGTGGGTACCCCTTTTCTTGGCCCTTCCTTACTTCGTTTTTCAGCCATGCTTTCTGTTGTGTTCGTGTGTAGAGTTCCGGTGTTGTATCCGGCTTGGGTGTCTCCCACACCACCATGTTCTCCTTGTTGTCTGCCGTTTCCGGCGGTGTTGCTCGGGATTTTCTCTGAGCTTATTTCTGATGGTTGACTTCTCTTTCGCTGACTGTCTCTTGTTGATGGCTATGTGCAGGTGGTGCCTGTGGAGGGGATGATCGGCGGTGGACGGAGGATTGGGTGGCTGGCTAATTCTCGTATCGGCGGTGGAGAACACAATGGATGGTTCTCGGTTGTTCGTTTTTGTTTGGGCTTCACTGTTGTTGGGCTCATTTTCTGTGTTTTCATTGTTTTTAGGCCCGATCTTTGTTTGTTTCTAGGAATAAATTGAGCCTTTGTTTGATTTGTAAGTGTGTGTTTGTTTTAATAAAAGTTCCTGGTTGACGATTCTTTTGGATCCCACTTACCCAAAAAAAATAAAAAATAAAAAAATAAAAAAATGTATAGGCTTCACAGCCCCCTCTCTCTTTGGTGCAGATATCACGTGATGGTCTCCCTTTTTTACGCCGTGATTATTTTGCGTGGAGCGGAAGGGCTAAACTCTCCCATCCTCTGGTTTTGTTAGCCAGTTGTCGCTTAGTTTGCTTTCCTTGTTTGTTAATACAGGTCGAGTAATGTTATTGATATCATGTTTTTATACTACATTTTTATATTATCTTAGGTGGTATCTGATATGGATAGTCATATCATTTAAAAATTTACAAAACCCAAGGAACTGAATAAGAAATATTCCTCGTATACCACAATCATCATTTAATTAACTAATTTTTCTTAATTATTAGTTTATTAAATAATGAATTAAATTTAAAAATATGATTAATTCAAATGATGTGGCTGTCCACATTAAATGCCACCTAAAATAGTATGAAAATGTGATACAAAAATATGATATGAATAACATTACTCATATAAGTTCATTTTTGGACCTACAATTGTATTTCTGCTTTGGCTTTATTAATAAACTATCCACAATAGTGTTCATTACGATTATGGCGTTGTATTGTTATTAATTAATTAACGTTATTTATGCATATCAACCATATCAACTGGAAAATCACATTTCTTAGGCCACAATTATCAATCAGTAATGCATGTCATTTGATACAAAGTGTATTTTATTTTTCTAACGAACCACCATTAGGGATGGGCAATGGTTATGGCGGATGGGTAACCGTAATTATTTACCCATAACCGTTTATGTTCATACCCGTATAACCGTTTACCCGTTTGGTAATTACATAAATGGTTATACCCATAACCATAACCGTTTATAAACGGTTATCCATACCCATAACCGTGTACCCATTTAAGCATAACCATTTATCCGTTTACCCATTTTTTCGCCCCGTTTATTCCTTTTTTTACACCCATTTACCCTTTTTTTTCTCCCGTCTACATTATTTTTTTTAACAATTTGAAAATTACAAAAGAAAAATTTGTCATAATTTTCATTTTCCAAATTTACCCTCTATTTCGATTCCAATCCACACATTTACCGGATTTTCAGTCTGATGTAAAGCTCGGCTAGCAGCAGAAGCATGACCGATAAGCCACCAGAAGCACCATCTTTGTCACCGCCGTCACCTCCGCCGTTAAGGCAACTCTCTCCCCAAGATTGGGAGTTGTTAATTGACGACTTCCAGCACGGTGGCGCACGCCAGGACAGATGGACCTCCGCTCAGCTGATACTCCTCTCCCTCCTCGACCAAGCCTTCTCCTCCATCGCCAAGCGCGACTTCCCCCTCAAGCTCCACATCATCACCTTCCTCGAGGAGTTCTCCGACCCGCTATTCTCCACTGCCATCGCTAACGACGCCGTTTCCGGACGCAAAGTCCTTCACCGCCTCATCGAAACCCTACGCGCCCTGATCCAGACATTGCCCGATGGGGTCCACATCACGTTCGTGCTCAAGGAGCAGATGTTTTTTTTATTTATTTTTAATTTTACATATGTTTATACCATATTTAGGGCATCGTATTTAGACCTCGTATAAATATTCAGGGGACTTAAATGTAATTATGTGATAAAGGAAGGGGCAAATATGTAATAAGTGAGGAGTCCTTATTCTATAAAAGGACCCATCACCCTCACAATTAGAAGAGCCCAATTCCTAGGCCTGAGATCCCTTCTCTCACCCTCTCAACGCTCTCACTCTCAGAGCTCTCTCTCCCTCAAATAAATACAATCAGTGTGGACGTAGCCCAAACCTTGGGGTGAACCACGATACATCTTATGTTATTTACATTTCATGCAGATTTACGGTCGGATTTACGTTGTTCCAAGACCTCCGGTTTTGTGCATCAACATTTGGCGCCGTCTGTGGGAATCGATACAAAAAGCTATGTCGGTTCTCTTTCATTTTTTCATCTCACCACCGTGAGACCTCACCACACTCCACCTTGAATCTGCAAAATCTGCAAGAAACCCAAAAACCCATTTTGTTTTCCATTTTCTAGTGAGAGAAAGAAACATAAAAGATCAAAATCTCAAACAGACACAGAGCCCCCTATCTTTCTCTCTGCCTCTGAACTCACACCTTTCCCCACAACCCACCAAAACAAAAACACCAGAAAGATGATTTAGCTGCTGTTCGTAGTGATTTTATCAGAAATGCTTATGATACTGGCGTTTCTGTTCAAGACCCCCTCCAGGAAGCTGGTGATTTTGGGGCTGGATCAGATTAAGCGGCTGCCGCAGCCCCGTCGTGGAGAAGCACGAGTTAGAGCGGCTTGAGAAGCTCAGAGTATATTCATTAAGGAGAAAATAAGTCAATAAAAATATTTTTTAATTAAACATCTATTAGGTAAGGCATTTTAGCCAAAATGGTCCCTGAGATTTGCATAACACATCACTTTGGTCTTTAAGATTGAAAATCAATAGAAATGGTCCCTGAGATTGTCCACCATCCATTAGCTTGATCATTCCATTAAAAACTCCATTAAGTGTCTCGAAGTTCTTGGCCGAAAGTTTGGGCAATTTTCAGAGCTTCATAACTCAGTCGTTTCTTAACCAAATTCGACCCATAATATATCAAAATGAAGATAGGAAAGTGTAGAACAAGATTATACCTATTTGGAAGTCCAATGGTTGCCGGATAAGGCCGGAAAATAGCCTAAAAGGTGACTGATCCGTGGGAAAACTGGAAAACTCGCCGGAAACTGGGTAAACTTTACATGTTCATAACTTCTTCAATACTCAACAAAATCGAGTGATTCAAAAACGAAAATCATACTTCTCGACAAGATGAAGAGAATGATACCTTTCTCGACGGCTAAATCATTTTGGTCTGGCTGAAAAACGGCTCGAAAGCGGCTGTCTTGGTCTAGAGTTAGCCACTTTCGAGCCGTTTTCTGGCCAAAATACGGCAAATTAGCTGTGGAGAAAGGTACCACTCTCTTCATCTTGTTGAGAAGTATGCTTTTCATTATTAAATCACTCGATTTAGTTGAGTATTGAAGAAGTTATGAATGTTTAAAGTTTACCCAATTTTTGGCGAGTTTTCTAATTTTCCTACGGACCAATCACCTTTCAGGCTATTTTCCGACCATCTTCGGCAACCATTGGGCTTCCAAATAGGTATAATCTTTTCTACACTTTCCTATCTTCATTTTGATATATTATGGGTCGAATTTGGTTAAGAAACGATTGAGTTACGAAGCTTTGAAAATTGCCTAAACTTTGAGCCAAGAGCTTCGGGACACTTGACACAGTTTTTAACGGAAGGACCAAAATAATGGGTGGGGGACAATCTCAGGGACCATTTCTATTAATTTTCAATTTTCAATCTCAGGGACCAAAATGATGTGTTATGCACATCTCAGAGACCATTTTAGCTAAAAAGCCAATAGGTAATAACCTCCCTAAAGTTAAAATTGGTTTGGTCTCTGTTGATGCACAAAAAATCAGTGAGGACTTTGGTACAACAGAAAGTGTCAAGTTTGTGACCTTAGCTAGATTGCTCCGGTCACTAGTGTGGATAAGTATGTAAATTGATAGAGACAGGGAATCAAACACAAGATGTACGTGGTTCACCCAGATTGGCTACGTCCACGGAGTAGAGGAGTTCTCATTAATTGTGAAGGGTTTACACAAGTACATAAGTTCAAGCTCTCCTTGGTTCAAGCTCTCCTTTAGTGAGTGCTAGTGAATGTCATTTGTACTCAATCATTCACTAGTACTCACTAAAGGAGAGCTTGAACCTATGTACTTGTGTAAACCCTTCACAATTAATGAGAACTCCTTTACTCCGTGGACGTAGCCAATTTGGTTGAACCACGTACATCTTGTGTTTGCTTCTCTGTCTCTATACATTTACATACTTATCCACAATAGTGACCGGAGCAATCTAGCAAAGGTCACAAACTTAACACTTTCTGTTGTAACAAAGTTCTCACTGATTTTGTGCATCAACAGTCTCAATTATATAACTTTAGAGAGATTTGATTGTTATATCATGAGGTCCACACACATTTGAATACAAACTTTTTTTGTTTTCTAAATAAATTATTATATTTTACTTTAACGTTTTAGTTCTCGTTGAAACCAATAATGTTAGTGAAAAACACTTGAAGAATCAATTTTTCCAGAAAGAAAATCATTTTAATCTATGGAGCACTAACAAGGGTGCAATAAATTTGCGTTTGAAGTTATTTTTTTTTCCCTACGAAACATGACTTTAACTATGTTTTGTCTACAATATGAAAGGGTATTTTTTGGTTTGTTTTAAGCATTATGTTTTTTCTTTTGATGTTTTGAACCTCGAATATCAGGTAAATGCACAACCTCTGATTGTATCGGCTATCTTTTAATATAGTTATAGTATAATAAGAGATTCAAATGAAGTGTTTAGTTTGAAAAAGTTTTGCCCTTTTTTGTTTGGTTGACAACTGTGTTTTTTTAATACAACGATAAATTGGTTTCAAACTCATCATCTACAAGATTTGAATATAAAACTATTCTCTTACAAGTAAAAAAAAAAAAAAAAAATACTACTAGATCGTAGTAATAAATAACTTGGTTGGTTGACACACTTTATTTAGGATTTATAAAGTTTTTGTCTAAGGACTGTGGGATTAAACCAAGTCGAGACCCTATTATTTAGACATGAAAAATAGTAGGGTCTAAAGCGTTTATTCAAACATTGGTCCTCTTAGAGCCGGCCCTAAGCATAACATAGAAATAACTAAAAATTGTGTCCCATCTAATAGCACATAAAACATGAATTTGATGTATTCTTTTGCGTTGAAAAAATAAATAAAATTGGCCTAAGTGCACTTAATCTGTTGACAGACTGTTGCATGGAAAATTTGGGATTTACTTTATATTTGAAAGTTTATAAAAAAAAAAAAAAAACAAAAATTATAGATGTGACAAACATGATATTACATTAAACGTAA